TATATATATATATATATATATATATATATATATATATATATTGGAATTATTATAATGAATATGATACTTTTTATATATCATTATTAATATTATATTAAATGTTAGATTCAAAAATTAAAATCCAAATTAAGATCTCATAATTTATTGAAATTTAATTCTGATAATGCGTTTTGGGAACTTATTCAATATTTATTATAATTAGATTAATTTCTCATTGTATGTAATATCGAATATGTCGTTATAATTCTCTATTTATTATTATCTCTAAAAGCGCATTTAATTGTGTATTATTTTTATTTATTGTATTGATTTATTATATTGAATATTTTTAATTTTTTTTATCAGTGTATTTCCGAAAACGGACTACACCTATTCCGAAACTTCTAAGTGTCGTTATGAAATAGCACCAGGTATATTAGCAATGCCTAATATGTCACGACGCTCTATTCATTCAAATGTGAAAGGTTCTAATCAATTTTTATATGATCCATCTAAGAGTGGTACAAAAACAAAAAATGTCGAAGAAAAAGAAGGAACAAAAGTAGAAAATTATACAGTAAGTAATATAATTATAAAATATAATTATAAAATAATATTATTATATATAATATAATTATAATTATAAAATAAATAATAATTATAATAATTATAAATAAAATAATAATTCCAACGTCCATGTGATATAATTCTAACAATATTTTAATTCCAAAAATGTTTTAACAATATTAATAACATTAACATAATATTAATATTAATCTATTTTTAATTATATTTTATTTCTATTTTTTATAGCCTATCAGGGATGAATTTTATGGAGCACATATGCCAAGTTTAGATTCAAAATCTAAAATCCAATATACAAAAATGCATGTAGAACAATATTGTAGTCACCGACAAATAATTTATGCAAAATCTAATAATTCGAGAAACTGGGAATCAAGGTTTGTGATTTATTTTAAATCTGCATATATGATAAATATAATTAATAACATAAATTATTTTTGATGGCATATAAAACTAAGGATATTTTATTATTTCTATTAAAAATATATTTTTTTTAGGCAATTATTATATTCTGATCTACCATCAAAACATATAAATTTTCAGAAATGTGATGTTACATCTTCTCTTGATTCTGATGCTGAATTAGAAGAAACAATTCCAAAGAATTATAGCCAGAAAAATAAAATAACACAACAATTCATGAGTTTTATATCAATTATGGTTCTATGGTTCAATAAATTTCTTGAGTTTTTAAAACTTAAAACAGTTAAGAGAAGAGAATATTATGCCACTTATGAATATCAAAGATATGGTATAGTTCACTAATATATTATGTTATATAAAAATTATATCAAAGCAATAGCTTTGTTTATAATAAATACAATATAATAATATAAAATAAATAATTTATTAATAATTTAAATAATTAAAATAATTAATTTTGTTTAATTGCAGAATCGAAATTGTTCAAAATCTGGAAATATATTGATCATTCTTTACAGTATGTTATTTTTTTATGGTCAAAATGCTTTTATTTGATTCATGGTTACTAAGCCGTATATTTAGTATCAGAAATTGGATTCATCAAAAAAGTCTAAAAGTTTTTTGGATTGCCTTATTGCTATTGCTTCTTCTTACTGGTAAATTTTTATAATTGTTAAGTTATTGTAAGAGATTCGCCAATTAAGAAATCCGTGTCTTCATATCGATATTTGTTTATATTTTTTTTCTTTTTTTTTTAATACTTTATTTATGAATTATTTTATATCGAATCGATTACTTTTTGATCTTAATATGGACAATTTTTTTCTAAACGAAATATAATGTATATGACATGAAATCAAGAAAAAAGGAAAGTCATTATTTTCCTGAATTCAAATTTGTTTAAGAAACATGAACTTTGAATTCTACGATTTTTATCAATTCCTATTAAACGAATTTTTATTCTGAATTATCTCTGTAACTATTTATTAAGTTTTTTTTCTTTTAATTTTAAAAATTCAATATCTAAATATATTTTTTTTATTTTGAATTAATCTTTTAATATTGAAAATTATAAAATAAATTTTTATTTTGTAAATTTTATAAATTGGAAAAAGATTGAAGATAAAAAAAGATTAAAAAAAAAAATATGACATATATATTCTTGAAATTTTAACTACAAGATGAATTTTTATGATGGAATTTTTAAAATATTGTTATCTGTTAAAATATAATAAGTACATTATACATTTTATTATTATGTTCAATAGTCATTTATATATATATATATATATATAAATTTTATTGATCACTCTTTGTCTATAATAGTTTTTGTGATAATCAGATTGATATGTATTAGTTTACTTGCTTGTTTATTATTTATAAAAATTATTACTTGATAGATGAGATAAACTATTAAATAATAATCTTTCTCTATTAGAAAAAAATTAAAGTTAGTAATAAGTAAAAAGAATAGATAGAATGGATCTTTGTATAAAAGGAATTTGAAATTTATATATTGTGTTAAAACAACTATTTTTATCACATGAAAAAGTTATGTAAAACTTTATATATTATATATTATATATAAAACTTATGTAAAACTTGTTCATATAATATTTAATGTAATTATATTATTAACGTAAAGTACCATTAATAAAAAATAAATGATAAAATCTTTTGATGTATTTAAAAAACTATTAAATGCAAGTAATGATGAAACGTGGCATATCGATATGTTAATAATTCATAGCCAACAATTAATTTTAAAAATTTCATCATAATTAAAATTCATTTCGTAATTGAAATTTCAGTATATATTTCAGTATATATTCAGAATATAGTATATTTTTTTTGTATATTTTTGTATATTTTTAATCTTTAATCTTTTCGATAAAATTTGCAAAATAAAAATTTGTTTATAATTTTCAATATTAAAAGAAATATCTTTAAACAATTTTTAAAATAAAAAAAAATAATTTGATCCGATAAATAATTATAGAGAAAATTCAAAAATACAAATCAATTTTGAAAATTGACAAAAATTGTAAGATTCAATGCTTTATATTTTTTAAACAAATTCGAAACAAAGAAAAATGTTTTCTTTTCCTGTCTTCTTGATTTGTATCATATATTTCAGTTAAAAAAAAATCGATATAAAGAATAAAAAATAATCGATTTAATATGGAATGATTTTTATTATATTCATCCACAAGATCGAGTTTTTTGCCTTGGCATCTTCGGGAAGACCGGTGAAACCTATCCTGGCGTTTCTTTTTCTTTTTGTTTCAGGAACTTACATCGTGCAAAATCAGTCCTTTATCTGTCTGGATTCTCTGCACAATATTCCCTATGATGTCACTGAGACGAGCTATCGCATCTTTAATGATATTATCAGTTTAACATCTTTTCGAAGCGATTTATTTATTGAATATATAAAAGTGTTTAAAAATTTATCAATATATTTTATGCCCGGTATGAACGTGTCTTTACCCGAGATGCCTTAGCATTGGTTAGAATTTAATCTAATAATTAGGTATACTTTTTATTTCTGAAAAACTTTTTCATTTGCTGGTTCTTATTTATTTTATGTAACTTATAGCAACATGGAATTGTTTTATGTATATATATTTGGACATTTTGCAAAGGAGGGAAGAGAGAAGTGCAAATTTTAGAAGTCAAAATATAAAAATTGATATACTGTTGTTTGAAGTTTATTTATTAAATTATAAGAGTGAGATAATTTTATCTTTATCTCATTTCATGTAACAAAAATTGCTTATAATGTATTAATTTAATAAATAAACTTTGAGAAACATTTTTATTTATCAACTTTTGTGTTTATTTTGAATTCTAAAATTGAGTTTTCAGAAGTTACAAAAATGTATTATGTTTGTTATTTATATATGTTGTTTATTTTATATTATATTTGTAAAAATCAATTATTGATTTTTTTTTTAAATTTGTCTAACTATTAATGTAAAATTTATTATTATTTAAAATACAAGCGATAAATGTTATATTAATGTTGAAAAATACTATGTTATATCGGATATATTTTATATAAATTTCAATAATAGTCAGTAGATATTCTTTAAGATAAATATAAACGAAATAAATAATAATAATGATATCGAACTATTATTTTTACATATAATCGGTGCTGTGGTATCTATAAGATCACGTTCAACGGATGTATAACGCGTTTAGAAATTACGTCAAATTACATGGACATTTATATGCACGTTATTGTACGTCGTGTTTTCCTAATTGAAATAGGAATTATACGTTTTAATATAACTGATTATATCGACATATTCTGACATTGCAAAACATATCGCATATAATGAGCAAAATATACAATATGATGTAATGTTTACAATATTATATAATATGAATGAAAATAATTTAATTAAAAATGTTTGATACAAAAAAATTTAACATAGCATATAAAATGTTCATCTAATCAAGATCCTAATTTGATAGAGAAAACGCGACATGCAGCATAATAAAATACTTATATAGTTCTGATTAAATATAGATATTTATAATATTGTAATTTTTTATATATAAAACAATTAATGAATGAAATCAATATTTAAATTTAATGGGAGAAGGATAGAAGAGAGTAAAATTATTTTATTGGTAATTGAAAAATTGAAATATTCGCATTTTTTAAGGAGTATGGACTTAATCTCTATATCTTGATATCATCAAAATGGTGAGTCTCTTTGTCTATCCTTCTCTCAATAATTGTAGCAAATTATAAATAAAAATAAAGAACATATTATTTTTATATTTCAGGTAGCTGGTATTTAATACATCTCTTAAGATTATTTCCTGTAACCAAAGTTATTACACAATATTTTGGATCTGAATTAGTTGTAAGTGATAAACAATTGTTTTTAAAGGAGGAAATGTTTGAAAAAAATAATTTTCAATCGATTATTGAAAAATTATATAATAAAATTAACAATTTAGAAGATCAAACTATGGAAAAACCTGTAAGAGTTTTCATTGACTTTTATTTTCAATAGAAAAAACTTTTTTTAATTACTGTTATTGATTAATCATTTTTATACAGGATCAATTTTCTGATATAATACAAGCGCTTCAGTGGTTAAAAACATATGCTTGGTCACAATATGATGTAAGTTTATACGAATTAGTATTGTAATATATATAATATCGATTGGTATATATTTCTTTTTTCAGAATGAAATATTATTTTTGGAAAAGAAATTAAAAGAATATAAATTAGATGATATATATGCCCAAATTCATATTATTAAATCGCAATTGGAAAAAGTTGAATAAATTTTATTCAGAATTAAAATGCTGTAATACACATATGAATTACATTACTAATAAAGAATTGGAAAAACATATTGAAATGATCTTAATTGATCATGCTGATATTTTAATATCGAAAATAGAAAAAATTAAAGGTACTTGATTTCTTAGTTATCAAAGTAATAACTTAAAAATATTTATTCTTTTTATTTGCGTAATAAAATATAGCAGGAATAGATTGGAGGAATAATTCCTTTTTACAGATCAAGACAAATCATGGATTGCTAGTAATAATTTTATAACAGATGACCGTGTGCGTGAAATAGTTAAAGAAGCTATAAAGATATATGATGCGGATAAAACGGGCCGCGTTGACTATGCTTTAGAATCTGCTGGTAAATTTATATCAATTAATCAAATAACTATTTGAATTATAATATCTATTTTTATTAATAGGCGGTCAAATTATTAGTACACGTTGTACACAAAAATATGATATTAAAACTAGGGCATTCAAAGTATTGGCTTTTTTTACACTTTATCATGAAAATAATAATCCTCGTACTGTAATACAAGGAAATCCAATACAACCGGGTACTTGCTGGGCATTTCAAGGTTTTCCAGGATATTTATTAATTAAGTTACGTAGTTCTATTTACGTTACTGGATTTACGGTTGAACATGCATCAAAATCGATATTGCCCAATGGTGAAATGAGAAGTGCTCCTAGAAAATTTAATGTCTGGGTAAGTATGTTAATATTTTTATATATAAAGATATACAATTTAAATTAATATTTTCATTGCAGGGTTTTCTTGATGAAAATGATTCTGAACCAGTATTATTCGGCGATTACGAATTTGTAGGTTCGGATAATAATTTACAATATTTTCCAGTTAAAGTGAGTTGCATTCTTAATATAAGAATTTTATATATATAATATAATATAGATCATCCTGAAAATAATCGCATTTTAAATCTCATTTTAAATATCACAAAAATCATATTTTTAATTTCATACAATCATAATTATATAGTATATATATTTATAAATATAAATTGTATTATATTTATAAAATATATTTATAAATATAATAAATATATATTTATAAATAGTTTTCATATTATTTAAAAAAAGAATAAAAGTTAACATTTTAGGATAAAAAGATTATAAGAGATTATGAATAATATGAAATAAAAGTTCAAGATCGTTTGAAAATCGCAAAATATTACTAAGAAGATTAGTTTAAAATTGTTTTTAATTCATAATTAAATTAGATTGTTTTATATCATCTTTGTATATTAGAAACATTATCATGAATTTTTCATATAATATATAATTATATAAACATATAAATATATAACATATTTTTACTTATTATATTTAGATTACGGAAAAATATTTAGATTTGGAAAAATATAAAATTAAACAAATAATGAAAAATATGATTCATGAAATTTAAACGGAATATCAAAATAGTTATTTTAAATAATTTTCAAAATAGTTGAAAAGTTGTATAGCAAATTTCAGAATGATCGAATTTTATAATACAATTTTTTTTTAAGATATATTTTAATATAAATAATATTTTTAAATGTAGAATACAGCAATTAAAACGCCATATGAATATGTGGAACTAAGGGTGCATAGTAATCATGGCCAACTTGAATACACATGTTTATACAGATTTCGCGTTCATGGAAAATCTGTCTAAGTTGTTTTTTACTAAAAGTTTAAAAACTTTTGAAAATTTTATATAAGAAGTACAAAGAGTAGTACAAGAATATGTGAGATTAATTAAGAAGAGATTAGAAAGGAAAAAGAAAGAAAGATATATTGCATGTTGATACGTGCCTTCAATTATTCTTCGATATAATAATAACCGTTATGATAGAAAAAAATTTATTTTGTAACTCATATAACTCAAAATTATATATAAAAAGAGTAAACTTCCATACACATAAAGATTTTATTGAAAATTTAATTTATTAGAATAAATTTACGATAAAAATCTTCTATATCGTTACGGTATATAAATTTGTCATAAATATATACTATTAATACAAACTTAAATTTAATGATTTAATACGTAATAAATTAAATATACATGTAAATAATAAATATTATCTTAATAAGATAATATCGATAAAATCTCTACATGTATGGCATGTCATCTAATAAAATGAACGTAAGTTACCATTATATATTAGCATATACTATAGACAATGTATTATCATATATAGGAATATTTATGGAGGCTTGATTTTAGAAATTAAAACGATTCATACAGAAATATCGATTGCGGCTTATTTATTAAGTTATAAGTTATAAGTCAAAATTTTCGTTAAATAAATCAAGAACAAAATACTAGAAGAATATAAATATAAAAAATAAAATTTCATTTTATTCATATGATTCTGTTAGACAAGCATGTTCACAAAATTAAGTTGTTCATATACTAGAAGTCAATCCAGTTATAATTTTTCATTCAATTATTAAGAGTTCAAGAAAATATTCTCGAAAAAGTTTTCTTTAAAATGTATTAAATATTATAAATTTAGAAACAATTTTGAAAATTTAATAACTTTCTTAATGAATGTGTTTAATGAATTAATTTTTTATTTATTTTGTATCATACATTCAATATACATTTCTATTGTAAAGATATTTATATAAATGAAATAACACTTGACAGTAGTTTAAATAATAGAAATTCAGTTAGAATTTAAATATAAAATTTTATTTATATAAACAGAATTCCACTATGGAATGAAATATTTTTTTGTTATATCATTTATTATGTCTCCACCTTATTTTATTTAACATAAGCTTTAATTTCTTATAATTAATAAATAAATCTCAACTGATTTTTGTATATATCTTTGAATTTGTTTTAGTCTTTATAATTAATTCTCCAAAGCTCATTAACATCTGTAACATATATAAATTACTATACATAGACAATACAGTGCCTAAAGATTCATATAAAAATTCAATTACTTAATCATATTCCTTCTTTATATTGTTGCAGTCTTTACAATTAATTCTCCAAAGCTCATTAACATCTTGTATATATAAATTACTATACATAGATAATACAGTGCCTAAAGATTCATATAAAAATTCAATTACTTAATCATATTCCTTCTTTATATTTATGTATTTGTCGTAGTTTTATCATTAAGCACAAATGTATAATAATTTTTTGATGAAATATAGATAGGAATAAAAAAAAATGTCACTTTGCTCGGCGACTTAAATATTATCCAAAGTTTAATACTATTACATTTGTAATATTATTCAAGTATAAAATTTACGCGACAATACAAATTGTAAACGAGAAAAATTGTAAATATTAACTTAAAATACTTTTGCAGTATTTATACAATAACTTTAATTGTATATATTAATATCTTATAAAAATTAAATAACATATTTAATTAGCACACATATATGGTATATTATATAAAGCATTAGAATTTATAATGGTTTCAGTTGTTTTAATTGAAACCATTTAGATATCAATTAAATTACTTTTTTTTTTCTTAATCATATAAAACTTCATATCTATCATATAAAACTATTTAAAGAATATAAAATTTAGCAAAAGAAAGATATCTTAAATGAAATCTATTTTCATTTTTTTTTAATAAAATGGTATTAATTTTTTGTTATTTAAATAGTTTGTTATTTAAAATAACATTTATTTCAAATATTTTTTTATTTTATATAGTTAAGAAATTATATAATAAATATTTTTCTCTAAAAACATTGAAATATTATAAAAATAAAAATAATTTTATAAATCATTTTATTAAATCTTTTATATTCTATGATTATATTTTATTATTTAAAAAAAACTATAAAATAATATATAAAAATCTAAATAATCTAATCTATTCAATATGAATAATATTTATGCTGTCTTAATTTTCATTATCTATTTCTTTAGATTTCTTTAATTATAGCTACAGTTATCTAAATATAAAAAACATTTTTTTTTATTATTAAATTTTTAATAAAAATCTAAAAATACAAAAGAAAAATAATTTTTTTCTAAAGTAATTTCTTAATTTTTTATTTTTCAAATGATAATTGATTTATCCAAATTAATTTAATAGTTATAAATGCAATATAAGTTCATATCTATAAAATTTTAACAAAACTTGTTTATAAACTTTTAAGTGATATATGTATATACATATGCATTATATTATATATGCATAAAATAATATAAAATATAGTTTTGCAAGTTATAAAATTATTTACGAAAAAAAAGCTATTTTATATATATTACCTATTTTCTTTTTTTTCAAATATAATAAAATATAGTTTTTTAAATATAATAAAATATTTTTTTTTACTATTTTTTTTATTATTTTTTTACTTTTTATCATACTTTTTATCATACATTATTCTTTATCAAGAAGGTAAGTAGCCATATACAATGAGTAATGAAAATATTCGAACGCTTACATTTACGATCTTTGATGAACGAAATATATATGTTAAAGGAAATTATTTAAGATAATGAGAGATATAGTAAGAGGGAAATCTCAAGATTATGTCAGCAAAATTTGAAAATGATTCACCAATTTTTGTAGTAATTATAATACATTTATTACAAACACGCATCGTTTGTAGGTTATAAAAATATTCGAACGCTTCATATATACAATATTATTTAACATATAATATTTTGTTGGATCATCTTTGATGGTAATAATTTGTCTCGATCGACGTTCCATATTACGTACCAGTGATTTTGTAAAATTATAATTGATAGAATTCCATATTTCTATAATTTTTTCTTTAAGAATCTACTTTGAAGATATTTGAAGTTTAAATTTTTTGCCTATTTCAGCCCATAAATTTTCGATGGGATTTATATCTGGACTCTGTGGTGGAGTATTTAACATATGGAGTATATTGTATAGAATTCTTTCACGATTCGCGCTTTAGAATCATTGTCCTATTGAAAGTAAAAGTTTTCTAACAATCTCAATTTTTGGGCACTATCTTTGAGATTGTTCTTTAAAATATGTAGATATTTATATTTATCAAATATTCCATTAATAAATATTACATTTCCTGTATCATTAGCTGCCATTCAGCCTCACACCATAATCGAACCACTATGTTTTATTCTGGGCATACATTTTCGATATCCAATTCTGTATTTGGTTTTTTCATACACAATTTTGCCTATCCGAGTTAAAAATATTGAACTTAGATTTATCAGAAAATATCACTTTTTCCAAAAAGCATTATTTTTTGTTTTTGCAAAAATCAATCTTTACTTTTGATTTTGCTTATTGTATGACTTTTTTTTTGTTCTTTATTATGAAAATTATTATTTCGTAAAAATCGTTGACATAATTGGGGATGAACATCAAACATTTTTGATATCATATTTGAAAGTGTAGGTGCAGATATAAGATTTTTTTTTTACTTTGCGAATAATAATTTTTTCCTCTCTTTCAATTAATTTTCTTGATCGACTTCAACTTTATTTATAACTGTTCTTTCATTTTTTAATTTTTTTATAATATAATGTATTGTAGATTTATTGTATTTACGATTTTTGATATCTTATTATATGATTTTCCATTCTTATGCAACCGAAGAATAATTTCTCATTCACATTTTTCTGTTTTAGACTTTTTCCTATTCATTTTGAATATTTTACTGCAGATTTTTATTTTATTGTTAATAGAATGATAGCTTGACATCAACTGAACGTGAAAATGTTCTCACTTAATATCTGTATTTATATTTCTGGCTAATGTGTTTGAAAACTATTAAGAACTATTAGCATTCGAATACTTTTGTAACCTACTAACATCGCGTGTTTATAATAAATGTATTATCATTATTATTATAATTATTATAATTATATTATAATAAATTAGTGAATCATCTTCAAATTTCGTTGACATAATCTTGAGATTTCTTTCTTAATATACACCTCTCATTGTTTTAAACAAGTTTCTTTAACATATATATATTCATCAAAGATTGCAAATGTAAGCGTTCAAATACTTTCGTTATTCACAGTAAAAATGTTCACAATATATTTTACAAAATGCTAAAATATATTGATTCTATAATATTAATATGTATAAACTTTATCTGAGCCGATTAATTATCTGAATTATATATTGATATTATATTTGATTTTTTAATACAAAATTTTTCAATAGAAATAACATACGATTAATGAAACAATAAACAATAAAACAATAGAAAGAAAGATCAGACAGCGATATATATTATATTATAGACTATATTATAGACACAAATATATAGTTATGTATGTGTAATATATTATATTATATATTTTAATT